TTTGCTTCTCATCCTCAGTCATTTCACTTTTTTCTATTTTTTTTCTCTCCAGTGTCTGGACTGCTCTTTGTTCTGTGGACTCCTCTAATTACATTCTATTTCTGTTCTTCATTTCCACTGTTTTCTCAAACTCATTTCACTGCTTTTTACCATGTTGCTGAGCCATTCCAGTATGAAATATGTTCCTACAAGTCTTAGTATTTTCTCTGAAGAAAGGTTGTCATTCTAGTGGTAGTATTCTCCTGCCAATTTTTGTCATGCATCACCTTTCACTGCCTTCTAGTAGTCACCCTTTTCCACTGAGATATTTTATCTGTTCTTGACAAACTTCTTCCTTTTCATTTCTTCCTTTGCCGGCCCCTAGTCTGCCTCGGCAGCCTTTTGAAAAAGTCCTCTTTTCCTTGTTCTGTGTCTTCTCTGTCACTGTCTCACGTTTTGTGTTCAGGAGTCTCTTAGTCCCTTTTCATTAAAGCTCATGTAAAGCTTCATTCAGATATTAAAAGTATTTCAAACTTTCACCACTAGAGCAAAACAATGTAATACAAGACCATATCTTGTATACTTTGCCTATGGTAGGCAGTGCTTTTCCAAGATATCTCTCTGAAGGAATAATCTGAGTTTACTCCCCAGCGGGAACATGGGATTCATAGTGGGGAGTGTAAGACATCTGAGACAGCACTGATATACCTTCTTTTATGTTTCTTCCAGTACCTAACAAAGTGTCAGAGCTCAGGAAATTATTATAATGACACGTTATAGAAGTATAAATACAGGGGGGTTTACCTTTCAAAGTATGTTCGGTAAAAGGAAAGAGTAGGTATGAAGAAGCTGTGGAAGCATTTTTCTGGAAAGCTTTTAACCCATAAAAATCTGAAAATAAAAGCTAGCAGGCAACTAAGTACAGGGAGAAGCTATTTGTGTATAATATTTCTGTGAATTTAGCTCAGAGTTTCTTACTGCTCAAAAGCTGAGCTCCTTTTCACTTTTGATTCAGGTCAACACCCAGTAAAAGCAACAGGAGCCTGCCAGGGTGAGGAATAAATAAAAGAGCCACCTATCTGCATTTTGATCCTTGGAGAGTAACCCCCTATTTATTCTGTATTAGATATTTTAAGTGAAAGGTTTAGCCCAAGCTTTTCCTTGCTACATTCTCCACAACTGCCTTAGTATTGACCAACAGT